AATTAAACATATATAAAAATAAAAATAGAAAACGAACAAAATAATTATAAAGTAACTAACCAAATAGTAAAGAAGAAAATTTTCTTATTGTTCAAATTAGTTATGAAGAAAGAAAATTTCTAGTAGTCCACACTAACAATATTAAAAGAAATCTAATAGTTTAAACTGATTATCAAATTCAATTAAAAAAGAAAATAGAGAGACTGTAAACACAAAAAAAAAGTAAAGAGAAAAAATCAAGTATTATCAACGAGAATATGATAATTAAGAAAAATTATAATTCACCAAATCATAACATGTGTTCAATATTGATCACATGATGAAATGTGTTAATACTTAAACTTAGTGAAGAAAAACTAAAATTATAAATGGAAACGAACAAAATATTTCTCAAAACAACTAACCAAATAGTAAAAATTTTTTTTTTAATAATCCCAAATAGCTGGTATAAATCATTAAAATAGTTTAAACAAATTATAAAATAAAATTATAAAAAATGAGAAATTTCAAAAAATACCACTTTTCAAGTGCCACTTTACAAAAATACCACATGTTGGAGGGCGGATTTCACCTGCTCAACGTTAATGTTCAAAGTTTGATTGACACAACGAACGCACACTGAACTACGTTGACATCTAGAGATCATGTAGTTCCTAAGTCGTCAAGCCATGAGATAAGTCTTCTCCGTTCCTAAGTCTTCTCCGCGTGCGAGACGAAGTCTTCTGAGGCGAAGTCTCCCGAGTCCTACTTTCATGCAGAAGAAAGCGTCAACACAGGGGAGGCCACCGATGACTCTGTCATCGGCGCCACCGAGCACCCTGTCGGGAACTGCCGCCTAGGACTCCAACGGAGAGTGTCACCAAAGATCCATGTCTTCGCCTCGCAGAAAGGATCCTGTCTTCGTCCCGCAAGAAGGGCCCGAGGACTTCCCGCGCTGGGCTTCGGCCCTTAACCAGTTGAGAGGACATGCCCAGACATCTCCAGAAGATAAACATAGCGGCTGCAAAACGACGATGTAACAACCGCGGCACTGAAGCCCAGTCCAGTTGCGAAGCCCACTTCGGCACAACCGACGTAGACAAAGAGGAAATCCGCGAAGACTTAGGAAACTTAGCATAGTCTTTGATGGAAAAACTTAGCCGACTTAGAAACGCTATATATATCAATGTACAAACCCTTATAAAGGGATCCACAACTTTGTTCACAAAAGCATAGACAGCAATAACAAAAAATTTTCTTAACTCTTGTTGTCTTCACAGCTTAACCTAGAAATCTCTGCTTCCTCTCGAAACCCTTACAAATCTAATTGTGATAGTCTTGGCTCCCACACCACACTTTTGAAATCTTTACAAAAATGTCACTTTTTCAAAATTATTTTTTCTTTATATTATTTATGTTTGGGTTAATTATGTTCTATTAGGGTTTAGTTATGAGGGTGTAAGGGGGTTTAGGGGTCAAAATATTTTTTAGTGTTTAGAATTTTAAGATATAGGGTTTAAAAATCTATAATTAGTGATATTTTTGCAAATGACCACCCCTAAATGACATTTTTGCAAATGTGCACATAAAAAGTGCCATTTTTGCATAGTTCC